TTTTATAATGAGTCACCCAAAGAGTGCAGGAAATCTGTCCACACATTAAAGACCAAAGAATCCAGCTGAGGGCCTGGATCCCATATCAGTGTCCTGTGTGAGACCAGCTGAAAATCTAGAGCTCGTAACAATGCCTCCCATAACTCCAGCTAGAGGCCTAGAGCCCACAGCAACGTCTCATGCAGGCACACTTCACGGATCTGTGCTGCAAAGGCCCACAGGTCAGTCGTAGAAGCTAAAAAGTCTGTGCCAGCAGGATGAAGGATCTGAACAGGAGCCAGGAAGCAACACTCAAGAACCAGAACTCCCCTGAAAAGTACCATAGCCGTCCTCAGCAGCAGTGAGGTCCGAGCTCCTCTGAGGATGAGGAAAGCCGAGTTCCCATCAGGAAAGCCAACGTGACAAGCTTCTCTAGGAGGCTGCGCTGTTCCCCATCTTCCCCTCTGGAGCCAGGAAGTGATGCTCCAAGTGAGGACCAGAGCTCTCCTAAAGTGAACTGTAGCCATTCTCGGGGGACAGTGAGGTCCTTAACTCTTCTTCCTTTGATGTGAACAGCAAGTTCTCCAGGAAAGTAGGTCCTCCAGCAGAATCAAGAGAACCGGCAGCTACTAACGGCTCCAACAGCTCCCTGAACAGCCTCCCCTCTTCCTCAGTTCTGCCTCTTATGCTGCTGGCAACAACCCTCAGCTGGGCCTCGCACACCCAGCACCATTCTAGTAAAGTTCAGCTGGGTGTAACAATTTCACCAGCAGTTGGCAATCCACCGCAGTAGTCATCCATACTTAGATGCACTATATTCTACTCCACTTCACTCAACCTCATCCTACCCCACTCCTCCCCTCTCCATTCTACTAGATGTACCGTAGTCCACCCCAGCATCAGTTCCAAAACTATCTAGAAAATGTTTATTTGAAAGACTGTTTCCATGGTGGGATCACAGCACTTCTCATGTATTTGTTCCATTCCATCTGTCGCTTGGGAGAGAAAATGGCATCAGATTGGAAATGAACTAGTGTAAGTATTATGCTGAATTGTGAATCCCTGTATCTTCCAGTTTTTCTTGAACTTGGGTCAAGCAGCTCTTGCTAGTGATATGACTAGCAGATTTTAGTGACAAAGAGAACCTTACATGAGGAAGAATATACATAACAAAGATGACTGCAGAATTATCTACTTACTAATCATGATACTTTGGAAATTTATTTTAGCTACCTTATGAGTCTTTGGTTTTGGTACTGGGGATTGAATCCTGAGCTACAACCCAAACCTTTATGGATTTTTAATTGGAGTCTATATAGCACTGGAATGAGCTAAATATTATCTGTAACTGATACAACTATGGAGCTAAATAAGTCTTGGCTGTCTCTGAAATCATGAAGCTTTCTTTTCTGTTAACTTATAAAGTCCATTCTTCCTGTCCAGATAGAAGAACAATGAAATTTTCTTTTTCATGAGTATCAGAAGAACAATAAAACTTTTATTAAGATTTGAAGAAGTACATTCTGGCATTTGGTTAATCAGACTACAAAAAGTGACCAAATCCCCAAAGGAGGTTGTCTTAGATCTGCTCTTCCATGGGTCTGGTACATCAGAATCTTTGCTGCCACACAGAGTGGTGTGCTTGTCTGCTTTGACCTGCCTCTTAAAAGCATTTAAAGAATTGCAGTTGCAGCTGTTCTTAGTGAGGGTCTCCTGGCAGGGTCATCATGAACAACAGGGAGACAAGAGCGGCCACTAATTCTTTCTTGCCAAGGGACAAGTTTCTACCTAGCAGTTGATTGTCAAGTTCTAGGCATTATTATTTTTATTGTTTTATAGTTTCGTGCAAATTTTATAGCTCTTGCCTTTTGTTACCAGTAATTAGCACATTTATAGCATTCTTTGCACAGATTGTACATTTATGCAATAACATTAGGGTGTTTCTAAACAGAGAATATGTGCCAAAAGCTAAAAGTTCAGCTGAAAAGGCTGTGAACTATCTTGATTTGAGTGAAAGCTATAGAAAAAGCCATTTTCTTTACTCTCATGTCTTGTGAGTGAGATAGTTGAATTTTCAATCTGAAATGGTATTGAGCAGTGTCTGGCAGGGTGGCGCATGCTGCAATCCCAGGTATTTAGGAGGCCAACACAGGAAGATTGCAAGTTCAAATCCAGCCTGGGCATTTTAGCAACTTAGAGAGGCCCTGCCCCAAAATAAAAAAAGAAAAAGAAAAAGGGCTGGAGACACAGCTTAGTGCTTACTGGATTCAAACCCCAGTACTGAAAAGAAGAGAAAGTACTGTACTGAGTAGTCATATGCCACTATCTCCAAGGACTGGATGAAAGGAAATGAGCAGAGAATTGAAGTAAACAAAATTTAGGCTAAGATAAAGTGGCTCTAACTTGTCACAGTGAATACTGAGAGAAATTAATAATCCTCTTTCCTAGAGATATAGAAGAATACTATAGGCTGGCCTGCTTGTGTTAATTTTTAGAGAAAGTAGACCAGCCAGCATATTTCTTTTTATTTTATTTTATTTTATCTTATTTTATGGTGTGTGTGTGTGTGTGTGTGTGTGTGTGTGTGTGTCTGGCTCAGCCCACCCTGGGGGTGGGGCTGACACGATGTGCCAGGGATTGAATCATGGTCCCTGCGCTTGCCTAAGTTTGCCTATGCAGGTGGTTTAGACTGCTGAGCTATCTCATCAGGCCCCCAGCCAACGTATTTCTTTTCTTTATGAAAGAAATATTAACAAGTCAGGGTTTGAATTTTAAAATGACTGTAAGTTTTAAAGATTATATATTTTTATTTTAAAATCATTGTAAGATTATGTATTTTTATTCTTCCCCAGAAATGGCCCAGTGTGCAAGGTAGAGTTTAAGATGAATTTCACAACCTGACTAATAGTGGAAATAGATATTTCCCCAATCTGAATTTCAGAGTATGTGGTATACATGTGCTACAAGGTACACATACATTGTCTGTTAAAACTGACAAAGAATATGTATGCTTTGTGAAATTCTCCCTTTTGCATATATTTGAATGTTTATATCCTTGTAACTGATTCTGTTATCAAAATAGCTTCCCAAAAGAGTAGATAAAGTACAGGTCTAAAAGTCATAATTCTGACAGCCATTAATGTTAGCCATGAGAATGTCACACAGCAGGTGGCTAATAGAAGACTGACAGAAACAGCTTTGGCAAATGCATACAATAACTCATGTTCATGTGCAAGACTGATAAGCAACAGTCAAAAACAGATGTATATTCATTAATGGTATAACTTGTTTATTAAAGTTTTGGTTGTGTTGATGTTTCCTGATCATTTCCCATCAGACACATTATTTTCCTTATAAATTAATTTATCAAAATCTTCTCTTTTGGGTGATTTGCTTGGTTTGATGCATATTCACATCTTTAGTTCTCTTAAATGGTTTTGTTAATAAATGTTCTGGGAGGAATTAAGTACTGTGATTCATTGGCAGATGCTTATATCTAATCTTAATTTAGTCCATGGTATGTTATTTATGAGACATGAAGTACCAGAAGTCTGGTAGATAAAATACTAACATCAACAGTTAGGTGTGAAAGTCTGTAAAGTATACTGGCTGGCCTCAATATGGAGGCACAATGTTTAGCATTCTCATTTTCTTTTATCTAATAGTGTTCTCTTGAGGCACCGCTTTGTCCCTCTGAGACTATATGGGAAAATCCTGTTTTGGTCACTAAAGTGTGTGTGAGGATTTTCCTCACATAGTAATCAAACTATTCTTTGGTGGACACCAACTGGGTGTCCCATGATAAAACTGAATTCTGACACTGTCTACCTGTGGTTAGCACCATATTCCACGTAGAGAACAGGATACACAGGACAGGTAGATGCCAGAGACACATAGGGTGAGGTATGTAGAAAGGGCTGGGGGGGCTGGGAAGATGGCTCAGTGGAATAAGCACTTGCCTGGCAAGCGCAAGGGCCTGAGTTCAATCCCTGGTTCCACAAAAAAAAAAAAAAAAAAAAAAGGGCTGGGAACTTGCATGCCCTCTCAGTACTATCCACCAGGAACCTTCCTCCAATCTGGAAGCTCCCCAGACACTTTCCCTTTGGGTTTTTGTCGAGGTTTCTTGTGATTCGTGACTGATTACCTCACTGACCTGTGATGATCAGCTTTTAGCCTTTTTTCCTGGGAGATTGGTAGAAGTGGAACTGAAAACTCCAGCCTTCTAATCACATTATTCCCTCAGCAAACAGCCTCCCATCCAGAAGTTACTGTGGAGCCTCCAGCCACTAGTCATTTTGTTATAAGAAAGTACTTACCATGTTGGTGAATACAAGTATTTCAGGATCTGTGTGTCAGGAAACAGGGCAGACTGTCACATGCCAGGCATTACTTGATTTTGAAAATTTATTAATTTTTTCTTTTATGACCAGCTCAGCCTACCCTGGGGATGGGGCTGGCTGGCATGTGATGTCAGGGGGATTGAACTGTGGGCCCTATGCTTTGCCTAAGTTTGCCTAAGCAGGCGCTTTAGACCACTGAGCTATCTTGTCAGCCCTTGAAAATTTATAAGAGGCTACTTAGTGACTGCAGTCAATAAGTTTATAGTCTTTTAGAGAAGACAGTTAAAGAAGTAATTACAATGTGATGCAAATATTGCTATAAGGGAAGGATAGTAGAGATAGTTTTTTATCCCAAAAGATGGTTTATTATGTAGTTACTTATGGATCAAATTGTTCAGACTGATTGGGTCATCTTGTTTCTTTTAGAGAAAAGTAAAACTTATGGTTTAGAAGAGTCCTAGATGAATAGCATTTCTATAATTATTTAGTGTAAACTTAGGATTTTTTCTATAGAACACCTCTGATGTACCATGTAGTTACCCGAATAGCCCAAGTAGCGTTCAGAGACTTAACACTCACAGTTTAGTTTTAGTTTTAATGTAATGTATTTGTTACCTAGTGCTTGAATTGAAGGTTGATCAAATAATGATACAATTTAAGATTCTTATCTTTTGTTTTCAGGGAAGGTATTCATATAAATCAAGAATCACTGCAAATATCTCCCAATGTTACAGAACAGTTCATTGAGCTATTATGTCAGTTCAGTCCAACCCAAGTTATAGAGACGCTGCAAGTTCTTGAGTGCTACCGCTTAGAAGAAACTATTCAGGTAAGGCCAACAGTGTTCAAAAGACAAGAGTAAACTTTTCCTAAACGTTCTCCGTCTTCTAGATGAGCAAACAAAGATGCTTATCATCATGTACGAGACTACTTGCAGATGTTGATACCTATTCACTGATCATGCCTAAGATGAAATCTGCTAAGTCTGACTCATAGCAACTGGGGGTGGGGGGCTCACTCCAATGAAGAGGTTCAGACTGACTTGTTTACAAAAATATGAGGCCACCTTGTATTAGCTGACTGTTCTAGCTTCATGGCTCTGGAGGAACCCTATGGCTTGTGGGGTAGTTCAGCTTCCCTTAGATGATCTTGCTTAGAAAAAGAAGACTCAGTTTCTGTCATGGACTAATTGTTTCCACTTGGGGAGGTTACTCCCCTCATGGAATGTTCTAGGTTTGCTTTTTTCTGGATTTCTAGGCATAGTCCAGTAATCTGGACGTTGTGAAAGCTGATGAGTTCTAAAAATCCCCTAAATTGCTTTAGTTACTCTTATCCTGGTATCAGTCTCAAAGGGACATTTGTAAGTGATTAACATACCTATATCCAAAGCTGAGCAGGGATCTAACCCAAAGTTTTAAGGTGATAAGAGAGGTAAAATAATTGAAGGCAAAAATGCTAGGTTTCATATTTTCAGTTACCCACTAAGTACCTGTAGGTCCATCTTAGGTCCCTGTAAGAATTCCCCCTGTCGTAGTTCATTGCTCAGTCTGGAGGAATCCTTATAGCTTGAAGCAGTTGGATTCCCACAAAACGATGCTTGGGATAGGCAACCTCAGTCCTTGTCCTGTGGAAATTGTTCTCCTCGGGGAGGTGGCCTAATCCTGGGATGGTCTGTAAGGCTGCACAAGGAAATTACAGGCTTAAGACAAAGCTGGAGACTTATAGGCATCACCCAAGCGGGTTCTGGAACTAGATGTTAAAGCTGGTAATGACTGTCTGCAAATCCTGAAAATTACTTACACTTATCTTGGTATACTCAGACTTGAAGGGGATGAGATAGATTAAGTAAACTTAGGGCTAATAGAACTTGAGATGTGGAAACTGCTTAAATGATTAACATACCTACATACAGAGCTGAGCTGGAATCTGAACCAAAGTTTGAAGGTAATAAGTGAGATAAAATTTGAGTTTTCTTCTTATTTCTGTCTTTTTTTTCAATCTACCTCAAAATGTTCTTCCACATTTATTCAGTTAAAGTTAGAAATAACACTCATCTATGTCACCAGTAAGAGTAAACTTTTAGAGCTGGGGAGATAGCCCAGTGGCATAAGTGCCTGGTGAACGCAAGGTCCCAAGTTT